AAAATGGGAGTAAATAAGATAACCCTTCCCTTCTTTACGGGGTAGCTTCAAGAGGTTTTGCAACGATGGTCGATGTAAAAAACGACAAACGTGCAGGAGATCAACGCTTTCATTCTTAACAGGATAGAGATCCTTTAAATCGCAATGAAGGTAATGAACACGTTCTGAAACACCATGTTTTCGACTAAGAGCAACTCCTTGGTCAATCAAACGACGTCGATTTTCAATTCCAATGACGTTCCAACCTCGAGATGCTAAAAATACCATATCCCTTCCAGTTCCAGAACCAACATCAAGAGCAAGAGAATAACCACCAATAGCTGACTCTACTAAAGGAATCGAATCGGAAAGAAAAAGGTTTGGTGACCAACAAGTTGTTTTAGGGACTTCACGTACAAGATTTCCATTTGGTTCAAACACTTTGACTTTAAGTGATGCAAAACAAAAACGATTTAAATAGGTCTCAACGGCATGCAAATCCATCTCTTTTTCAATAAGTGCAGTGAGATCCACATCCCTTGGAGGTAATCCACAGGATTCCTCCTTTATGTTTTCCCATGGAAAGCTATAAGATCCTTCCAGGTGTCCCTCTGTATAACATTCCTTTGGCCGTAAATCTATCACAACGTTCACCATTAAAGAACTTTACAACCTCTTTTTTTTTTTTCTGTATGCAAAAAGATAAAAAAACAACAATCAAGAACAAGTGACACCATAAAAAGAACAAAAAAAAAGAAAAAAGTAACAAGAACTCTTTATGTGGACTCAGTAAACCCCCACATTATTTAAGTAAAGAAAGGTAGGACGCACTCACATATGCATAGTAGTAACTCATTTTTAATCAAATCACAAGGTGAAAATAGGGAAATTCATGTCACCAGAGAACAAAAGAAAAGTCATCCAATCCTCACCATCCACGTTACAATATTCTGTGGAAGACCCTAATGTGTTAAGTTTGTGTATAACAAGGGTGCACTGGTTCCTACGTTAAGCCTACATGAAAAAGAGAAAAAAAAAGAAAAAAAAAAAGGAAAAAGTGCACCTACGAACACAGCGACACAGAGGCATAGAAAAAAAAAATACAGAATATGCTTCCTACTTTGGTCACACCCTGCGAGAAACAAATAAACAGAAACAAACAAATATATGCTATAAAGTTCCAATTAATTCCAACATGAGCGTTTCATGACAAGAAACGTAAAGGCAATGTGTTAAATATCAAATTCTTTATTTTGCAAAAAGAAACACCCGAGAGGATTTACAAAGTGGCGGATTCCAAGGATCCTTTCCTCTCCAGACCTCTTCGCTTGGAGGGGCTAGGAGGTGTGTGTGGGACGGAAAGAAAAAGAAAAACCAAACTTAAATCTTTTCCAATCCTTTAGCCAGAGGTTCTTTTTGACTACTACAAAACCCAATGAAAGAAGAAGATTACACAACCCCCGCAAGGACTAGATTGTTATAGACCAAACCCAGATACATATTCATTCCACAAGTTCCTAAAAAAAAAAAAACGAAAAAAAAAAACGTACTAGTTCGGCATTTCAAATGTCATATACCTCTTAATTGCCTCATATTGTTCAAAGAAAAAAAAAATTGAGTACATACAGTTACATACAGCGCAACATGGAGCAACACACAGCAGGAAGCGAAACAAATAAACCAAAGTGTCAAAGTATATAAAAGAGAGAGAGAAAGAGAGAGAGAGAGAGAGAGAGATTTGTCATTCAAATATACTTTGATGGATTTCTTTTTTTTGGAGGTAGAGAATGGGGGAAAAAATTATTACAAAAAGCAATATAATACATACATCTTTCACATTTCTCTTGTCATTCTGATTTCTCTTAAATGCAACGGACTCATCACTTCTCGGTGAAGAGGAAGTGTACCAAGGTTCATCAGACCTGTACAACCACGAAGATTTATCTCTGTAAGTGTATGTATGGAAGCAAGAGAAGCTACATTAGTAAGGTTCTTGCAATCTTCAAGAGATATCTTTGACAGGCTGCAACTATCACCTAAACCCTTTAAACCATCATCTGTTACAGGAGTATTGCTTGCATCAAGTAAGCGTAGGGTGGGTAAGGTACCCAAAATTCCAATACTTGTCATTCGTAAGCATCCTTGAATATACATTTCTTCCAATGAATATATAGAAGAAAGTGTTAGCACACTTGTGAGATTTCCACAATCTTCAAGAAAAATTTTACTTAAGGAATGACTTGCACCAAGTCCTCTGATACCAGTATCTGTTACAGCAGTTTTGCTTGCATCAAGGATTACCAACATAGGAAGTAAACCAAGACTACCAAGAGTAGTAACTCGAATACATCCTCTAAGTTTTATTTCCTCAAGTGTTACAATAGAAGAGAGAATAGATACATTCGTTAGAGAATCACATTCTTCAAGAATAATCTTAACCAAGCTTCGGCTTCTAGAAAGACCTTCTAAACCATCGTCTGTTACAGAAGTTTTACTTCCATCGAGGATTCGCAACATAGGAAGTAAACCAAGAGCACCAAGAGTAGTAACTCGAATACATCCTCGAAGTTTTATTTCCTCAAGCGTTATAATAGAAGAGAGAATAGATACATCTGTTAAAGAATTACAATCTTCAAGAATAATATTAAGCAAACTGGGACTTTCAGAAAGACCTTCCAAACCATCATCTGTTATGGAAGATCTACTTACATCAACTGATCGTAGTACAGGTAGAGTTCCCAACACACCAATTGTCTTTAATCGTAAACACCCGGCAAGAAAAATCTCTTTTAGTGTACGAATAGAAGTTAACGTATTTACACTTGTCAAACTTTTGCAATCTAAAAGAAGTATTTTTTGAAGACTACGACTTGCTCCAAGACCCATCAAATCGCTATCTCTTAAAGGTGTTTTACTTACATCAAGTATTTGTAACTTTGTAAGTAAACCCAATCCACCAATGTTCTTTAACTGATTACAACCCCGAAGACTTATTTCTTCAAGTGGTTTAATAGAAGACAAAGTGTTTACACCTTTAAGACCTCCACATTCTTCCAAAATAATTTTAACTAGAGTAGAGGTTTCTTCAAGTCCTTTTAATCCGTCATTCGTCACTGCAGTCTTGCTCGCATCAAGAATTCGAAGGGAAGGAAGTACACCTAAAATACCTACATTAGACACTTGTGAACATCCACAAATTTTAATTTCTTCCAGTGTAATTATAGAAGATAACGGAGACACACTTGTAATGCATTTGCAATCTTCAAGGATTATTTTTACCAAGCTACGACTAGCGCTAAATTCGGCCAAGTTACGATCACTCACTGCAGTCGCACTTAAATTCAATGATCGTAAAGTTGGTAAATGTCCAAAGGATTCTGGAACCGAACCATTGCCATTAGGAGACTCATCTTCTCCAAATGAGTCGATAATTCTCAAACAATATTTATTTTGGTCATTTACTATTCTCCTTGGTAAGGTAATGGTTTTCACAGTGTTTTCCGTTCTAGAAGAAGCATAATTTATTTCTGGGTCTCTGCAAATAAGAAAAAATCTTTCCTCTTTTTTAATACTTGGTAGCATCTTGAAATCAGAAAGAGAATATCAATAGGAAAAGAATATGTGATTTTATTTTTATTTCCAGTTAGTAAATTAAATCGTCAAAATGGAACGTATTGTAAATCCTAAAGTGTTAACAATTTTTTTCCAAACCTCCAATTATTATTGCATTTCCCCAGGAAAAACAAGAGAAAGCCTTGCTATCTTCATTTTTTTTTCCTTCTAAAAATAGGGAAGAAAAAAAAAAATGAAGAGGAAAGCGAAGAACCAACACCTTTACGAACAATCAACATAATAATAAAACTTCGTTCGGTATACCCAATGCCCCATTTTTTCAAACATGCATTTCAGAACCCAGAAAACATTAAACGAATACAAATAATAAAAAAAAATGGGTGATGGAAACAAACGTCACGTGGTGGGGAAAACGAGAAATCCATTCAGCAATCCCAACGCGCATCGTCTCCAGGGGGGAAAATCGTAGCACAGAGAAATCGCATAACCAAAAATCAGTAAGGAAAAAAGAAAAAAAAAACTCCGCCGTCGTGTTTCGGACCCTTGCTGGCCACGAGTCTTTCCGCCATTTTCGAAAAACGGAAAAACGGGAAGAAGACGCGGGCGTCGGAATCGCCATTTCTATTCTTCCCCTCCCCCGCCGTTCGAACAGCAAGGCGAAAGAGTTTCTACCGGCGGGGCGGCCGGCCCAGAGAAAAATTGTTTTTTTTCCCCCACGGGTTTCCCTTCGACCCAATGGTAAAGAAAAGGAACGGGGGCGCGCGTGTCGGCGGCCTCTTCTTTTTCTTCTCCTCGGGCGCGCGTTTGTCC